ATTGGAAAGCAGGGTAACCATAACTAGGTATGGAAGCGGGGTAGGTACAACGAATTTTAAGCTATCTGTACCCCGTATCCGTATTCATCTTAAACTTTATTATCTTTATCCATTTCAAATCCGTTTTAAATATCTATTTAAGTAGTCATATCCAAATCCGTTTAAATTTTTACTACCTTTACATATCTGAAACCCAGTTAAAGTACTCTTATACGAGAAGAGCACCTGTGAATCTCAAACTATCATAATCCAACTTACAATTTTTATTAATAATGGATAGAATATCCGTGGGTATCCACTGCCAAACTCATTTAATATAGCGGATACCCAAAGACCTATACCCATACACTACCCGTATCCATAATGGTTTCACTATCCGTATCCGTCTCAAATCTATTTATAACTACTTATATCCTCTTTAAACTGATTGGAGTGAGAGTACCATAAAATATCTGCACCACTTTCATCCCTAACCATAACCATATATCATCTAGTCAAAATATCAAATATTAGCTTGGAAAAATTAAATAAAAATAAATTAAGTAAATAAATGAATATGTAGAGTTTATTTCAATTGCATACAGGAGGGCTCTTGATAGAAATGATCCCATCATCTTGATTCCTTTTAATTAATAATGATTTTTCTTCTTGCAGACTTTGTACCACTTCTCAATCCGAAAAAAGGACTGCAAAGAGAGATTTTTTTTTTTTTTTAATGTAGCATATATTTGCTTAGGACATTGACAAAGAATGCAAATAATTTTAGTTTAATAGTTAATAAATTACAAAATTAATTATTTTAAATGGTGATTTTATAAAAATTATAGTCAGTATCATCCTCGGTAATAGATTGAAATCCCTATTTTCCTCTTAATTAATTATAAAATAGTTTGTTTTAACTTAATTTTGCATAAGCAACTATAAATTTCTTTTTGTCATGTAATATAATACTTGCAAAAAATAGAAGTTTATCCTAAAAAGAAATAAATAATTGCATTATAGTACCTTAAGGAACTTTATTAGAAAAAGAGAACTCTAGTTTTATTTAGTATTATAGAATTGTCACATAATTCTGTATATTGCTGTGAAACATGAAATAAGTATTAACACAGACTAAATTGTAGGCTAACTGGTTAAAGATTCAATTCTTGTCACACAACACAAATGAAGGGGAAAAAACTAAAAAAAAAAAAAAAAAAAAAGTGTTTGAGACTCAAAATACATAAATTTACGCCTACTATTTATTAGAAAAATCTGTTTGCAATTTTTTAATTTTTAGTTTGATATATTAGTCTCTTTAATTTTCAAAATTACTTCTAAAACTTCGACTTATGAAATTATGTAATTTTTAATAATTAAATATGTCTGAAATTATGATATTTATATATCTTTTAACATAAATTGGTAAAAAATGATTTTAATATTTTTTTAATTATACTCAAAGTGTTCAATAAATATAATTTTATAAATAAAAGTGTTTGATAGGTGTAGTTTAATTTAGTATTTTCATTGAATTTTCCTTACAAATGTAATAATTTTGTACCCCTTTTAAATATGAGATTATTCTTATTTTGAGATTTATGACTATCTCTCTGTAAATATTTTTCATAGATCAAACTTCTAATCTTATAGAGAATATATCTATTAAATTTAAATTTATCTTACAACTTAAGTTACTCGCTCTTTATGATCAGTAATGTAAAAAAAAAGTGTGAAAAAATGACACTTCTAATATGGGAAAATTAAAAAATTTAACAAATGAATGATTTAAAGAGGTTTTACTTTACTTACTATTTACTTAAAAACTTAAAAGTCTTATTTGACAAAATTAGCGATTTTAATATATAGTTGTTAATTGTCCTGATAACTGTCAACTTTTACACTAGCATTTTATTAAATGTTAAAGTGAATAAAATTGAGAAAAATACTTGTCTAGACTGAGTCTATGGCCCTATTTATGGACCAAACCAATGATACTAAAGATTTTTTAAAAAGTGCTCCGACTTGATCTCTTTTTTTTTCAAAAAGTGTTTGGTCAGAAATACACTCGTTTCAATAAAAATCCTTAGTGTCATTGGTTTGATCGATAAATGAGTCATGAATCTAATTTAGATTAGTTTGTCTCTAAAATTGGTTTGGAATATACCAATCCAAACTGAAATTCGATTCATTTCAATTTGAAATAGAATATAAAATTTAAAATATAATCCATTTTTAAAAATATTGGTATGGAATGGAAACATAGTAGAAATTTTAATTTAATTGTATATTTTAATAATAAAATTTTTTCATTTGAATTACTCTGATATCTGTGTTTTGCTTTTATTTTATTATTTTTTCAATTTCTTATTTTTGGATTTTATTATATCTATTTTATGGTTACAGGGACTTTCTATTTTCTATATTTGTTGTTACTTTATTATTAATTAAATGGAAAGTTGTCAAGTGAAGATATGTGCTCATTCCTTATTTATAAATTAATATTTTAATTATATAAAATATTAATTTGTTATTTTTGCAATTTAATTATATTTTTTTAATGTTTATATTCAATTCTAAATAAACATATTGATTAAATTCTTATTAATTTTAAAAATTTATATGTTAAAAGTATATCATAAAGGCTAGATTTATATTTGCAATTGAAAAATTTGTAGTTACTAAATTTTAAATCAAAATTTCATAAAACAGTATGATATAAAATTTTAAATTTCAAATGTTTCGGAATGGAATCAAAATGATAATCATTCCAATCTATATAGACCAAGTTACATCTTTGGTAATGTTTCATAATTCGCTCTCTCTAACTATAAATATTGTCTCATCGAATACTATAAATAATAATAAGAACATATCAAAATACTAAATGGTAGATGAAAAACTATAGGACGCAACCATAACTTAAACAAAGTATAATAAGTTGGGCCATCCATGATAAAACTACGGGCAGCGAGACAAATGTCACATTTAAGGTTTCAATTTTTAGTAAATGTCATAAAATATCAAATATTAAGAAACTAATACATTTGGTCAAAAATAGAATGAAAATACTTATAGTAACCTCAAATAATATGAAACTAACAGATTTGGTCAAAAAGAAAACGCTGAAAAAAAAAGGAAGCCCTAAAAATGAAAAAGGAAACACAAAGAAACACAAAATCTGTAGCAAATCCCTATACAACTTATATAATTTAACAATGAGGATGACGACCGGCGACGACGATCACGACGATGGTAAATACGGTATATACAATATATATGGTGTATATATTGTATTAATAAATACAATATATATATTGTATTAGTAAATACTGTAAAATCAATTATATGTATATATATATATATATATTATTATTATTAACCCACAAAGAAACACAAAAATTCTGTAGCAAATCCCGTATAACAACTTATATATTTTTAACAATTGAGGATTGAACGGACCGCCTGCCGGCTGACGACGATCACGAACGATGGGCCGGGCTATACAAGACTACGTAGACTGGTTATATTACAATATACTAAGGGGTATATCATCTGCTAATTAATAAAATACGAAGATATATTATATGTATAGTAAATACTGATTAAAAAAATCAATTAATGTATTATATTATATGATATACTCATCTCCCAAATATTATTAATAATTATTATGATATTAGTATCAATATCATAACCAAAACAGAATCGACATAGTCTTCCCAAATCTACCCCTGTTCCTCTACAGCAGCATAAACAACCATCTCCTATGGCTAATCCAGAAAAAGGCCCCCCTAGCCTAGAAACAACGGGCGGAAAAAAAATCCAAGGGTGAGGGGACAGATTTTTCAATGGCAAAAATTAAGCCTACTCTCTGCTCTTAGATTATGCTCTATAACAAAATAGCACAATATGCGAACATTTAAGAGACAAATAGGGAATTCCTTCAAAAAACAAAAAACGACCAATTGTGGAAACAACAACGCCATATATGGCCACAACAATATAAACCGAGAAGAACAACTAGTGGTTTTATTTTGAAAATACAAAACAAGTAAAAGGAGAATAATATAACGATAAGAAAAATATATAAACTGACAATAAAATAGAAAAAACGGCAATATGTGTGAATAGTCCTGAAAATTATTATTATTATTATTATTATATTATATCAATATCAATCCAAACAGAATCGAGAGTCCTACCTTGTCTCTACAGAGCATAAACAACATCTATGGCGGTGACAGTTTTTCAGCAAAAATTAAGTCGTTGATATGCTCATACAAAAATGAAATCACATAAGAGAAATAGAATTCAAAAAACAAAAAGAAATTGTGAAACAACGCAAATAACGAGAAGAACAACTAGTGGTTGAAAATACAAAAGTAAAAGGATAAATAACGATAAGAAAATAATAAACGACAATAAAATGAGAAAGAACGATGTCGAAAATAATGGAGGCAGCAAAAATGCTGCAGTTAAAAAGAAAAGAAACTAAAAAAGAAACAATAATTAAAATAGGAAATTAATAAAAAAGAAAATACTAAGCAATTAAAATATTGAATTACTAACAAATGATAATTAAAATAGAAAATTAATAAAAAAGGAAATGATTTACTAATAAACTAACGCCTAAAAACAAATTCAAATTGATAATAATTTAAATTAGAAAGTCAAAACTGACAATCTCTAAACATAAATTTCATAATATAACATTTACTAGAATTACGAAAAACAGAGAAGGGCAATCCAATCTGTTCAGGAAGCAGGCCGGACTTTGTTGTTCAAGCCCAGAGAGCAAGAGGGTCTTCGGGTCATAAATTTCGGACATTGGATTTGGAGTCAACAATTATCATATCTGGTTTAGTCTAGTCCACTGATTGGATCAGTAAAACAAACTACTGGCTTAGATTAAATCTATTCATACCCAACGTTTTGCAAATACCAATGCTGAATTCTGCTTTCCGCCACGTCAGCAACAATATCCAATTGTCTGTTAAGAATCACCTTCCTTTCTTTCTTCTTCACTTCATTCATTTCTAACGTCCTATCCTTTCAACAACCTCTGGCTCTGTTTCTCAGTATTACAACTGAATGGACCTTAGCTTCTCTGCTAAATTCCAAGCCTTAACCCTAATTTCTACTTCTCAGATTTCTTTTCTCTCTTCCAATAAATCGTCCATTCGAAGAGAATTCCTTGGTTGCTCTCACAATCTCAGGCCTCCTGGTGGTTCTCTTCGAGTAGGCAAATGTAGGAAAGTGAAGATTCGAAGAAGCCAATCTCAAAGTTTGTTACTCAACGCTTCTTTTGGTTCAGAATCTGTTCTTGTTGCAGTTGCTGTGTCTACTCTCTCTGCTATCTCTTTTGCCTACCTTAATCAGCAAATAACCAGCAATAACGGCAACCGAAAGGATTCGAAAGAGGTAAAATGAAAATTTTGGGGTTTTTTTTTTTGTTTTTTAGCCAATTTGAGTTGTGTGTTAGTTCAATTAGTTTAGTTTTAATCTAATTTCTATGCTGAAGTCTTTAATGTCTTGCTACTGTTACAGGCCTCGGGTTCACCTGGACTTGGCTCTTCTCAATTAGGCAAAAATATTGTGAACCACGTTATTCAAACTCCATCCGCGGATGTTGGGAATAGTCTCAGGAGTATCCTTGCTACTGAAAGTGAAAACTTGGTGGAGAAGGCCATAGAAAACAGCCATGCAATAGAGGGGGAAGAGACAGTAGTACAAGTTTGTGAAAATACTTTGAGAAGTACCAGTTCTATTTTGTTTGAAACGTCAGAATACGACAATGCTGACTTCCCAGTATCTAATGTTTCTAATTATGTGGTTCCAAAAGAATCTGAAGCTACTAATGTATCAGTTTCTAAAGAATCTGCAATTCCTGAATCAGAAAAGGTGTTACCACTCGTACTTAATGCTAGGGGAATGTCTGAGCTGACATTAGAAAAAAGCGGAAATGAAACTGATGTTCACGAGGTTGATGCTGAGTTAACTCATCTAATGGAACAGATGTCTAACAATACTGCTTCACCTCCTGTAAATTATGAAGCTGGTGAAAAGATTGACCTTTCTAGCTATCATGGTATCATCAAAGAATCTGCTAGAGAGGACCTTTACATGTTTTATGACAAAAGCCAGTCAGTGGTGAAATCTCCATTAAACTTAAATGGTTCAAACTCAGTATCTTCTCATGCCTCCCCTTCGATTGGCAATAGCTTTTCTTCATTCAAGGTGAATGGCATTGTAAAAGAGGCAGATTCGTCAGCACAGCAGTCTCCCAAAATTGCAGGTTATGCCACAAAATAAGATATACCTCATTTTTATTTAATGTTTTGAAGTATGGATCTAATCTGTTTTAATCTAACTATACTGTACTGGAAATTCTTACAAGTTTAACTGAAGCAATTTTTTTTCCAGAGTCTGTTGATAAAAAAGTACGTCTTGCGCATTATGTAAGAGAATCTTCTCGGAAAAATGAAAACACAAGGAGAAGGAGAGGATTTCCAACAGAAAAGGAAAAAGGACGTCCAGTTCAGAATAATCAAATAAAACTACCAGAATTTCCCTACCCGAATGGCGTGCATGTGATTGACAAAGACCATCCTTCACAGCAAGTCCATGCTTACAATCGTTTGCTAAGAGATGGAAGGTGATTTTCATCATTCATTTGTTTATATACAGCTTATTGATCTGTCTCCTTGTCAAAATGCCGCAGTAGAGATAGTAGCTAGCAAATAAAGTTTGTTTTGAATAATAGACCACCAAAAGAAGTGAGTTTCTGAACATTATTGTGAGCTGTGGTTTCTTCTTTTTTTAGGTTAACGGAGTGTGTAAGTTTGCTTGAAGATATGGAAAGAAGAGGCTTGCTAGACATGAACAAGGTAAGGCTATAGAGTATAGATTTAGCAATTAGTTCATATGTTGTTCTTATCAATCAATTTCATTATCAGAGTTAGTACTGCAGTGATTTCTCTGGTTTCAGATTTATCATTTCTCTGTTTCAGATTTATCATGCTAAGTTTTTCAAGATATGCAAAATTCAGAAGGCTGTTAATGAAGCTTTTCGCTTCTGCAAGTTGGTTCCAAATCCAACATTAAGCACATATAACATGCTCATGTCTGTGTGTGCAAGTTCTCAAGATTCATCGGGTAAGTTGATTTGGAACTCTTGGATACCTTGTCAGATATGTGTAGTGTACTGTGAATATGGTTCCAATTCCTGATATCTGTATTATTCTTTCAGGAGCTTTTCAAGTTCTACAGCTTGCCCGAGGGTCTGGACTGAAAGCAGATTGCAGACTTTACACTACTTTAATATCTACCTGTGCTAAAAGTGGAAAAGTTGATACAATGTTTGAAGTATGGTAACTTTTTTTTTTTTTTTTTTTTTCTTCCGAGGTCTGTACTGAAAGGGCAGGGATTTGTGCATGAAACTTTACACTACTTAATATCTACCTTTGCCACAATGTTGAAAGAGGTTTGAATACTATATTGTTTAGAGGTATTTAAACTATTTTTTTTTTTTTTTTCACGTGGAGACTGTTCAAATAGAAAAAAAAAAAAAAAAAAAAAAAAAGGAAGATTTCCAGGGAACAAATCTCTTTTATGAAAAAAAAAAAAAAAAAAAAAAAGAAGATTTCAGAACATCTCTTTTATGGTTTTATTTCTCATTTCCTTGATAGTTTATGCTCTGGCCATAAATGTAACATTTTACCCTTTTTTTTTTTTTTATCCTCTTTTTGTTCTTGCCATTTTCACTAATTAGCGAGAAAATTCTAAATTCCTGGCCTAACCTTTTTTTTTGGCTTTTTATGAAAGTTAAGTTGGATTTGAAAAGATGATGAATTCTGACCAAGATTCCTTGTTCTCTTGGAGCTTTTATTAATTTCACTTTTAATGAAGGCCATAACAATTCCTGCACAGATGGGCCCTTGTTGAGACCTATGTTAATTATTATGAATGACTAACAAGTATCCTGATGGCTGTGGTAGGTGTTTCATAAGATGGTTAATGCTGGAGTTGAACCAAATGTTCATACATATGGAGCACTAATAGATGGCTGTGCCAGAGCAGGACAACTAGCTAAGGCATTTGGCGCTTATGGGATAATGAGTTCCAAGGTATCGTATGGAATTTTACAAGATGTATATGTCTGTCTCACTGGAATTTTTATATGGAACTTTCTTTATCCTATCAGACCCTAATGCTTATTCTCAAATAATATTTTGTGCAAGGCTGTGGTGGCCATATTCTTGTTTACTTCTCTCCTAATGTCAAATTAATCTTCGCATTGATAAGTTGTTTTATGCAGTAGAAAGTGAAGCCAGACCGAGTTGTCTTCAATGCACTTATAAATGCATGCGGCCAATCAGGAGCTGTGGATCGTGCCTTTGATGTGTTAGCAGAAATGAGGGCTGAGACACAGCCTATTGACCCTGATCACATCACTGTTGGTGCATTAATAAATGCATGTGCAAAGGCTGGTCAGGTTGGTCTATTATCTAATCTGTGCTTTTGGTTTCTTGGTGGTAGCTTTATTAATTTATGACAGAATGGAATATTACTTTCAGATTAATCGAGCAAAAGAAGTATACAACATGATGCATGAATTTAACATCAAGGGGACTCCAGAGGTTTATACTATTGCTGTTAATTGTTGTAGCCAGACTGGTGATTGGGAGTTTGCCCGTAGTGTGTATGATGACATGAAAAGGAAAGACGTGGCCCCTGATGAGGTATCAACTGCTCATTCTGGTAGAATCAATATAAAATTAGTAATATTATTTGGAAAATGGTTTATAGTGGAAAACTGTGGTCTTTAGTAGTGTGGTTATGTCTTATGAATAATGTGCTCTTCTTGTTTGGTATAGAAGCAAAAACTGATGAATTTTATTATCCATACGGCCTTTGCAGTGGACTGTTGCTTTAGCTCTTTTTCTTTTGAAGAGTGAATTAATCAATTTATTTACTTAAAAAATCATCAAAGAGGGTGAACTTGTTTACATTACAAGTGTAAGAAATTAAGAACAACTACAAAAATGACTGTTAGCAAATCTAGAAAATGAAAAGTAATCTACCATTACAAAATTAAGGAATGCTCAACCACCTCTCATTAAGTATAGCTATGGAGAGGGTTTCACATTATTAAAGTGATTGTTGTTCTTACAAATCATGCAGATGTTTCTTAGTGCGTTGATAGATGTAGCGGGGCATGCTGGAAAGGTGGATGTTGCATTTGAGATCTTACAGGAGGCAAGGATTCAAGGAATGCAACTTGGAATTATACCATATAGTTCATTGATGGGAGCTTGCAGCAATGTATGTCTCTCACACTCAGTGTTGTGGTAAAAAAGCTATTTTGGTTCATGTAAATGGTTCAATTTTTGATTTCGAGTCATGAAGTACCAAAATTAGACATTCTTGCCAAATTTGAAAGCTATATGTGAGTTACCTAAGGATTTAGGCTGTAGCTCTAGAGTTTTCACGTTCAACTATCTAAGCTTTTGGGTCTGAGTCCTGTTTTTATCATGAAACATAGGGTCTTTATTGTAAGTCTCTGTTGGTTCCAAATTATAGTTTTGCTTCCACCTTTTATATTTTTTTATCAAAATTAGTCATGGCATATGGAGGGACTTATCATTCATGAGCATGGAAAAAACAGAGAAAGTGTATAAGTTATTTTGAGGTCATTTGATTCTTGCTTTGCATGTTTAAAATTCAAACTAAAAATTATGATAAAGGCCAGAACCTGCTAAACAGTTACAACTTTTCTTCCTTTTGTTTTAGGCCAAGAACTGGCAAAAGGCACTGGAGCTATATGAAGATATCAAATCCATTAAAGTGAACCCAACTGTCCCGACCTTGAATGCCTTGATCACTGCCTTGTGTAAGTCTGTGACCTATTTCTTCTTTCAAAATAATCTGATTTGATTGGAGATCCATTTGGTGTCTAATAATCTGTTTGTTACTGAACTATGTAGACAACCTAAAACCACCCTATACTGAATGCTGTACATGGATTGGCTACCCACCCAATATATTCTTGCTGCTATCTGGGTATTTGAGGGGGCTAGAGTGAAGTCTTGATAAATGACTCTTAGTAAAAGGTGTATTAGAGGGTTATCAACACTGGTCTATGTAGCATTATTGATATCTTGAAAAGGAGATGCTTGGTACTGTTAAATTCTAGAACAAACAAGGTTGAGATATTTTGATGTCATATTCTTATAGATTGAAGAAGTATTTATTGACAGATCTGATTATGGTGAGGTCACTATCCCAATACAAATTAGTGCAATTATACCGGAAAAATGGCCTAATCTGCACCTTGGAAATCCACCAAGAGGAAGAGAGAAATAAAGAGAAAAGTTTCAACTTTTTTTTTTGATTCATTGGGTGGCCCAATTGGCCGAATAACATGGTGGGCTACACAATAGAAGAGGCCCTCCCTTTGGCTTACTAAATTATTGAAAATTCTTGTAGTCGAGATAACTCGAACTCGAGACTCCCCACTTTTCACATTGGTGAGAAGACCAACCAGACTACACTTGGTTGGCAAAAAAGTTTCAACTTTATTGATGCTGGAAAATGAAAGTTGAATGCAAAATTTAATTACTTACGGTCCTTGTAACCTATAGGTTAATTCCTTCAACTAATTAGGAAGTAAGCCTCCTATTAAAACTAAGAACAATATAGGTCCAAATAAAATAACTTCTAAATAATATAGATCATCTATATATATTCTGTTCTTTCTATATAAGGAATCCAACAAAGATATTTAAGCAAAAACTACTGACTTAATGGCCACGTATTAAAAATCAATGTATTAAAATCTTTTACAAATAATTCTAGGTCTATTATAGTATTGCTTGGAATTCTCATGCATCAGCCATTATTACTGGTAGAGCTGTTGCTTAATTGTATGCCCAATAGAATTTATTGTAGCCAATTTTATTTTTTTTTCTTTGGTTGATGTGGAATTCAATTGATTCTTAGGAAAATTTAAGATGACATATATTATTAGACTAATATTTATTTTTTGTATGTATGCTTACATATCTGGAACTTGGTAAAATTTCTGCCCTTTGATCTTTGGCACATTATTTGTGAATCAATATAGATTTTTGGCGATGACTTGTGTAGAAGTGTAATTATAGAATAGCAAAAGACAGGAAATTAAATAAAGCAGATTTGCTGCAGGTGATGGGGATCAATTGCCAAAGGCTATTGAAGTTATGTCAGAGATGAAGAGTTTTCGCTTGTGCCCAAACACTGTTACATACTCCATACTCTTTGTGGCTAGTGAAAGGTAAATGAACTATGATTTCAATTACTATTATTTAAAACAATGCTTTTCAACATGTACCTTTGCCTCAAGTGTCATAACTTCAATTTTTTTTTTTTTTTTTTTTTTTTTTTTTTTTTTTTTTTTTTTTTTTTTTTTTTTTTTTTTTCGGGTTTGTTTTTGTGCAGAAAGGATGATCTAGAGGTTGGCCTCAGGCTTCTTTCACAAGCCAAAGAAGATTGCATTGCCCCCACCCTCATTATGTACAAATGCATAATAGGTAAGTTTCAAAGAGAACCAAAAATGCTTTCTTCCAAACATTTGTCAATCTATTTTTCCCTGCTGTTTGTAGTTAATTTTTTTCTATATTTTGTGTTTAAGCTTCCAAGAATTACTTGTTTATGCAGCCAACCTTCTAATATAAATAGGAGTTATTATCTCCTATAAATTTAACTAATCTTTTGACTGTTTCCACTTGAAAGGCATGTGCCTGCGAAGATATGAGAAGGTTTGTGCTCTTGGTGAGCCTGTTTTATCATTTGACTCAGGCCGGCCACAAATGAAAAATGAGTGGTATTTCATTTTTTCTCCCCATTCAACTAGTAGAACTATTTTGTTAGGCATGTATTTTCGAATTTCTTTGCTTTTATCATTTTTACCTTTGTTTGTTTTTTTTCTTGGGAGGAGTGGGTTCGATTGTTCCTTCAACTAGTGTTACCCTGGAAATTTTAAGAGGATGGCTATTATTCATGAATAGTAATCTTACTGTATGTGAGTAATTTTCTAAGTTCTAATCTCCTCCATTTATCCTTCAGGACATCACTGGCCTTAATGGTCTACCGTGAAACAATTGCAGCTGGCGAGAAACTTACAATGGAAGTTGTTTCACAAGTTTTGGGATGCCTGCAGCTCCCTTTTGATGCTTCGTTGAAACACAGATTAGTTGAAAATCTGGGAGTTACTACTGACTCGTCAAAAGTCTCTAACCTCTGTTCTTTGGTGGATGGATTTGGAGAATATGATCCTCGTGCATTTTCATTGCTTGAGGTCCGTAGGCGACTGAACCATTTGGACAATTTTCTGACTTCATTCTTTCTTATGAAACTATAAATGGGATGCTAGCTAAGACTGTTACCAATTGCAGGAAGCTGCTTCTCTTGGAATCATTCCTTGTGTATCCTTCAAAGAAAGTCCTATCATTGTTGATGCTAAAGCATTGCAAAGTCATGTGGCTCAGGTAATTTTTTGACATGTATTTTACTGCCAGTTAGATGATAGTAATTCTTCTGAAAATTTTCTGTTGTCTAAATAACTTCTTTGCTTCCTTGAGGCTCTACACTTGCTCAGAATGCATTTCTAATTTTCATGCTTCTAAATTGCTGATATTATGAAATGTGGACTGCTCCATTATTTTTCTTTAGTGAACTGTTAAAAATATTATAACATTGTTATGTATTGACAATTGAGTCTTCACTGAGGACTTTTATTTGTCATTTTATCTCATTCCTATATCATTGGCATTTTCATGGTTCCATTATTTTCTTTTGTTCACTTGCTTCATTTATTATCTCTAAGCTTGAGCAAGAGGAAAGCAGATAACTTGCAGGAAGTAGGACGTGTACATTGTTTGCTCAAAGGGTTATATGAATTCTGAGCCAAACCAGTTGTTTTGGTTTCCAATTTTTATAGTTTCATAAGAAAGAAAGAGATTCAAATTCATTGCTCAAAACTGAAATCTAGCAACCCCTAATTTCGACAAACTCCACATACTTTTGGGCTAAAAGCCTCTGCCTATTCCATTCTTGATTAGGAGTTACCTCAAAAAAAAACAAAGAATTTGACTCTCATTTATAGAGAGTATATTCTTGCCTCCCTTTTACATTGTTAATGCTGTATTTTGAATAACTAAGTGAGATTGTGGCATGCAATCTCACTAGATCGCACATCTGAATTTTAAAAGGAGAAGAGTAATTAAGGTTTTCTGCTCTCTTGCTCAACACTGTGTAGAAGCTTATAGCCCATCAATTGCAATGGACTTGGCAGGAGAGTGCAAAATGGATAAAGATGAATTGAAATATTTTACATAATTTTATGGATAACAATTATATTATGACATTGTGGTTGACAATGCACATCCTACTGTCTCTGACATAAAGCAAAATATGAGTTCAAATTATCTTCCCTATTCAATTTGTGCTGCTTCTTTCATTTTGACGACTTCCTGGAGAATCTTGTCAGGTGTACCTTTTAACCATTTTGAAGGGTCTCAAGCATCGGCTTGCTGCTGGTAATTTTTGTTTATAAATACCTTTTTTAGAATTCATTGAATTCTACAATATGTTAATTTCTGAGTTTCAACTGAGGATTAAAAGTTGAATGAAGTTCCTTAAAGCACAAAAAAAGAAAAATGCATGTGCATCATTTCTCCCAAACTATTGAAAAGCTCATAATGCTCTGTTTTATAGGCGGTAGTTTATGATGTTCCATTTTCTATTTCAGCTGGCCTCGTTTTTTTTACTGTTTTTCTAGCTGTAGATGTGATAAAGAACAAAAATGAAAAGGGGGAGAGACAAAGAAACAAGAGGAGGGAAATTAACAAAGAATCTTGAAAGAATACCATTAACCTCAATTCCAATTCATTATTGATAAACCCTTTCTAACAATTGGCTGGGGTGATTTTGATTGTGAAATATGACAATTTCGAAATAGGATTAAATAAAAATTTATAATGATGAAAATATTTTTGTTGTTTAGCTGGGATACTTGTACTCTGCGCTGTGCTAAAGAAGGAAAAACTTGGTTAGGTAGCTTCTATTTAATTTAATTGAATGTGCAATTGCTAACTTTTAGTTTTTTCGCTACCAACAAAACTTTCAACAGGTGCAAGGTTGCCCAATATAACGATTTTACTGCCTACAGAGACGGCACAAGTCAAGGTGCCTGAAGGGGAGAAAACAATCAACATTGCAGCAAGGTGAGAAGTACTACTTTGAAGTGTCTTGAGTGTTAATATTTTTGCCTGAACTCCATGCTTCCTCTCATCTTTATCTATAGCATGTTATGAAGTTCTATACCATTTTTCTGGATAAACTGGAAAATCTGGCCAAAGGTCTGCATTTATGGGTTTGTTAACCTTCGGTTGTTTAATTGTGTTGGAGAGGAAGTGCTGAACTAATAAGATAGTTAGTGGTGTTGATTGGCTATTATATCAATAGCTGTAGCTATTGGCTTTGAAAGATCAAATGCATCCGTCATAAAATTTTAGTCCAAAACCTGCATTGCAAGAAATGGGGCCGTGCATGGGTCGAGTTCAGTTTGGGGATTGAAAATCTTTTCGATGCTAAGCAAAATTAATGAGTGAAACCATATTGAAACTTTAAAGAATTGAAAACTGAATTATCTTGAAAATTTGGTCTGTTTTGGTTCAGGGATTCGATTCTTTGAGTTCCAGTCCAATTCATAAATTTCAATAATTCATGCTATAAATAATAAATTATTTATCTAATAACTAAGAATGACTAAACTTTTACCATGCTATATAATATATGTGTGTGTGTGTGCGTCTGTGTGTGTATAATTAGTTTAATTTTCAGGTTTTTTGATTCAGCACAATCCAGTACAGTTTGGTACAGTTCTCAAATCTGATTATTACTAAACATCCAAAACCACGCTATGATGGTATTGATTCAATTCATTTCTGGTTCCTACATTGTTCAGTTGTTTAGGTTCTGCTACCTTCCAGTTCAGTCTTTTGGTTCAATCTGGTAATACAAAGATCTGCACACAATCCTAACCGGAAAGGCCTAATGACCAATATATTTTGTGTCACCTGGACACTTTTTGTGGAATTTTCAGGAAATATAAAGTATTTGTTTAATCCTAGCTTTGGGGGAACAAGCATACAAGACAGTTATCATAAGATATAATGTTTCCATAAACAAGCGATGCACGATAAACAAGTTAAAGGATAAATAACCATGCATGATTCTAAAAGTAAATGCTTTGATTGGCAGGGTGAGCCAAGATGTTGCTGCTCTATTAAGAAGGCTAAGGCTGCATTACCAAGGAAATGAATCATACGGGAAAATTAGAATCAACGGAATTTCCTTAAAAAGATGGTTTCAACCAAAGCTTGCTTATCCTTTCAGTGGAAAACCAGAAGAGTTGAACTCATCTCTATTACGAATAGGAAAAGACATCAGTCATCAGCAACGTAATATTCGAACTGGAAATTTGTCTCTGGAATAAGAGGAAGAATGCTTATTGCTGCTGACAGGGTAACACCATTAGAAGATTTGAGTTATACATCAATTTTTTTCCTATAATAAGACAACATGACAGTTATGGGGAACGACCTAGTCTCATTATCATGCAATATGGCCAAATTTCTGCTATGTTGTTGAATGGCTTTTGGAAAAATTGTGAACGAAAGTTGTGCTCTCTCCTTCCAAGGACATGGCGGCGATACTTCCCCTGCAGTTTAAGAGAATGAGACATAGAATTAAATAATTTCCGGCTGAAAGAAAAGAGATTGTTGATTCAGCAGTCACTGATCATGATTTTCCATTTTGTAGAGAAGTATATTACTCATAGCAGGCCAACAAACCAGTGCCTGCAACTTGGAATAACTGAAAGAATATGAAGATTCGTGTATAATATTTGCTGAATACCACTTGTAAGAAGATACATATCATCTGTACATTGTCAATTTTGAATGTATTACCGTATTATTATCGCATAAGAAGATATTCACACTAGGGAAAAGTACTTTTTAGTCCCTGAGTTTTGACCCAATTTACTACTCCGACTTCTATTTTGGTAAACATATATAATATCCCTGAGGTTTGGTTTCACCCACCCAAATGGTCCTTCCGTTAAAAATAGAGTTTTTTACTGTTAAATATCAATTAAAAGGACGCAAATGCCCTACTATATAAAATCACATCTTATCTCCTCTTACCTCCTTTCTCTCTCCGTCTCCTTTCTATCTTTTTCTCTGTCTCTCTCCAATGGCAACATGATCTACTATGAAAAAATTTATAGAAGCCAAAAATTTTCAAAGATCTAAAATCACAACTGGCAAAGCTTCAACAACTGGAATTTGGGTCCTCCACCACCAAAGTGGTAATCTTCACCTTTCTTTATTTTTTTACCTTTTCTCCAAAAGACAAAAAATAAAAAGAAAATTTTTAGCGTTAAGCTTTAAGAAAATTTTCAAATCCAAAGCTTAAGAAAATGGTGTGAGGTTTTTGGGTAAGGTCTAGAGAATTTTTAGTTAGCTTTTTATTATTATTTTATTTTTCTGGGGTAATTAACATCTTTATGGGCTTTATTATAGATTCATTCAATAACAGATTTATATTGATCGTTTTATGGATTTTACCATAAATTCATGGGCTTTTCTTCATTTTCTTCATTATTATTATTTATATTTCTTTGGACGCAAATTTGAGTTTATTTTCATCCCTGTTTTCTTTCAAAGATATAATTTTAGTTTGTATTGTTATCTGTAAGTTTATTGTATGAGTTAAATTTATCAATAATGAATGAAATAAAAATTAAAAAAAAAAAGTCTGCAATGATATATGTTTGAGTATGAAAGAGTTGAAATTTATAGGTAGTGGTGGTAGATTTAAAACCCAACGATGAAAATAAATTCTGGCAGTGAGTAGGAATTGTTGCTGCTTGCAGCAAGAGAAAGATGAAGATAAAGAAAAGGTTGAGGGTTAATGGGTTGGTGGGAGGGTAATGTAGTCTTTTCTCTAATATTTGACGGTGCAAATGCTTGTTTTTTTGGTTCACGGACCATTTAGTTCTCCGGAATCAAATCTGGAGATATTTTATACGTTTACCGAAATAGAAGGACGGAGAAATAAATTAGGTCAAATTTCAGGGACTAAATAGCACTTTTTCCTTTGTACTATTATCTTAAAAGGAAAAACATTGTTGTGGATAAGCTGAAATCAGTTGCTCAAACCCAACTGAACCTCTGAAAATTCTTTTGCTATTACTGTTACCAGCTCCGGAGAGTTACTGTTGCCTATGGTAAATGCGTTACGAAATATGAAGGTTATTTGGACCTGGGAATGCCAACGATTCTACTTAAAATAGAATGGAAAGATAAATAAATGTTTAATCTGAGAAACTCTATTCAGATTTTAGAATTAATTTATTGTATAAAGAACTATTCTAAAACAACATATCCAAACATTAAAAATGAAATTCTTTTACAAGAAATGCATATATTATCTATGCAACTTCAAAACAAATCAAATGATGTTATTCTTGAGTCTTTTATTGTAACGTTATTGATTTGAGAGGTTAGTTTGGTTGTCACATTCGAAAATTCCTCAAAATCCCCTAATTTTCAACTGCAAAATGTTTTGCTTCATGTGAAACATGAATCATTCCTTTGTCAAGTGCATTAGTGTAGGAATACCCTTTATGAAGAATTGGTTGGTTGGTTCATGAATAAACTAGAAATTGCCAAGAAGTTTCCAAAACTCATTTCATATACCACTTGAACAAAGAAGTTCCTCTCCTTCAATGGAAATTTGAGCAAAGTTTCAAATAAAATTTAATATTGTAGCAGAGTTTCAAATAAAAATTAATGTGAAAGAGTGACAAATAATATATAATTTGTCAAAAAAAAAAAAAAAAATCCTTCATGATCCACTCAAAAGTGGAAAAATTTACATAATGTATAATATTGCGCAATCCTCCTATCTTTCTAGGAGGAAAAAAAAAGGCAAGATAAAAAAACTTGCGAAAAAAAAAATGATCATATTTTCACAAGGCAAGAACTCTAGAAGTAAGATGAATAAAAGCATCCTCATTGCAAGGAATTGTAAGAGCACCCATTGGGTGATTGAACCCAAACTCTTCTTCAGCCTGGTTAAGTAAATCTTGGAAACAAGGATGATTCAAATAAGAAATTGGGACAACATATCTCTTCCTTTCAACTTCTCCAACATAAACGGCTACATGCCCTTTTGGTACCATGGACTGGTTTTTGCCATGGAAAGACTGTTTCTTGAGAATTTGAAGAATACCCATTTCAAGATTTGGAAATTTTGTTGAAAGGAAGAGACTTCTACAGAAATTGCTGATCTAATTCGGAGCTTGAAGGTTGGTTGGCATTGGATGTGTACTTATACTAGGGTTTTGGAATCTGGGTGCTTTTAGTAGGACCCACAACATCAAAGACTCTCACATGGCTCCTCAGAGAAGAGAAGTCTGTACAATTAAATTATATATATATTTAATATATTATAGATTTTTTTTTTTTTACAAAAAAGAAATACAGAATTATCAATTTTAGCAGCATCCTTGCATGCTGTTCTTATGGTGCAATAGTGCCACTTGTGAGTTGGCAGTGTGATTGGTCTAATCTAATCTAATGATATATACGCGGACATTAGAGGGTGGCTTCAGTGTATTTGGACCCTCTAATGGCCTGTAAAGCGTTTAAGTCTAACCTGACGGCCGTACAATAGGAAATAAAAACGAAAGTTCCTCATAAAGCATATATATGGTCAGACTCCAACAACTGAGATAAAGCCCACTTCTAATCGTCATTCATCTGGAAACCTTATTTTTTATTTTGTTAAAGAATTCAAAGAAAATATATAAATTTTATATTTTAAATTTTATTTTCGGGAGTATCCTTTGTCCGAAAAGGATAGAGACCTCCCTCCAAAGGTTTCTCTATACACAATATAATATATTGAATCTAAATCACTTGCTTAAAACGATCGAGCCATTCTATTCAGACCAATTTACATTAGTATAATGTAAATAAGAAGTATACACCCTTTTGTCTACGAAAATAACAAAATCTTATTAATAATTTATCTTTTTATGGAAAAATTTATTAATAAAATTAATGAAAACAAATCAAACTTGAATACTATAAACTAATATTTTATCAATTTAGTCAATTCTTGAATGATGGAATCGTGTAACAATCTTGCTGTTACCTAATTTTAGAGTCTAATTTTAATATAAAAGAGAAAAACTAACAAATAGTTAGTTCTTTCCATATTGTTTTTCTTTTTATGGCATATCAGATGAAATGGTGATGAAAATTTTGAGAGTATATGAACTTCAGTTTGAATATTTCCAAATAATAATTGATAGTAGATGATTGAGAGCCCACTCCGCTACTCGTTCTTACATGCACAGCACATGGAATCATGTGCTTCTTTTCCTGCAAAATCTTTCTTGGGAATATACTCTGCATCTGATGTGAAACTTACTATATAGAATCACTAATGCAGAGATAAGAAAGGTTCATGATTAGATCAATCAGTAGCTGTGGATTTTTCTGCTAAAAGAACAGGCAGTAGTTGTTGCCTCGTAACCCTATTTTTTTTCTCCTCCACCTCCATTGTATCATACTATATCAAGCTTAGATATTTTTTTTTATATGTTAATTTATTCTCTTAAAGAAATAAACTATTCAAATCAAAGATGAGCAGATTCATAAAGAGTATCTTCATCTTAATTATTTAATTGCAAAATTAAAATCTTAATCAATAAAAAAAAAAAAAAAAAAAAAAAACTATCTCAGTTTGAGTCATTTAAGAGAAAATTTAATATTAATTGAAGTCTAAATTGACTTCAAATTGTTCTTAATTAATTATTAGCAGTTAAAATAAAGAATAAAGAATTAAATCATTAAATAATATTACAAGTGTATAAATGAACTGAGCAGGAAGTAGTTGATAATATCAAACTTAAATTATATGATTTTTGTAGCTATGCTTCCATGGAAAATTAACAAAATGAAAGTTTTTGGTTCTAAAAGATAAGTCAAATGTTGAATATGTGCAGTCATTCTTCTAGAAGAAGTTGGCTTTTCACTCTTCTCTGTTTGATTATTTCATGCCTTAGATTATGCCTCGATAAAAAACTTTCTTTGGATTAATAAGTCAGAAGTAATTTCTGAACTCAGAAGCTAAATCAACTTGGTTTGCGAGCCTATAAGCTATTGCTTGTATATTAATTTACTACTTCTTTTTAATATCAGCTAGTTTATTATTTATGGAGTGTTTGACTCGACTGAAATTCAATATTTTCATAGAAATTTGTTTTTTTTTAGAAAAATAAATTGTCAAGAAAGTAAATAATCAATTTTGGGTTAAAAATAAATTTTTCTATCAAATCAAATTAATATAATTAAGAATATTAATATTATTATGTTTTTTAAAAATAACTTATTTTTTTTCTAGATATTAAAATTTCTCATCCTTTGAGAAGAGAAAATACATTTCCATATATGGAAAAATAAGAATGGAGCGATCTATATTTGAAAATTATACTTTTTTATAGTGTAGACTTCTTATATTGACCAAATATCGAAATTTTATTTTTCTCATAATATTCCAGCAACCAGGCACCGTTAAATTTAAGATTTGTGTATTTTGTTTATTATAATTAGTAATTTTGGTGTATTGTTTTTTCTTCTCAACTCAAAATTAACAATGCATTTTAAACATGAGGTGACGAACGTTTAAAGCATGAGGTGTAGGTAAGTCATTCTTTAGATAAACTAAAATTGGGAAAACCTTTTTTATTAATTTTTATTTGTTTCTGGAGAAAATCTTTGTCATATATTAACAATTTCAAATGGTCAAAGAGATAACAATCACACTTTCTCTTCCTTTTCTCTCTCTCTTAATTCTATTCTAAATTTAACTTTTTTTTCTTCAGGTACTGAATTTAAACATTAATTTCAAATTTAAATTTTACTCGATTTAATGCATAAAAAACTTTTTTCTTAGTACTCACACTCTCTCTTATGGTCAGGTTATGTCACCCATCCATCTTCCTTTGGATTTTCTTCTAGAAGTCAATTCTTCTTGGACAAGGATCTCTCCTTATGGGTTCATTCTTAGAGAAAGAGACAGCCAATGCAAGATTTGAGTTGCTGGTTCCATAGTTGAAGAATCATCGCTCATAGATGTGAATTGAGAAGGCATACAAAAATTAAACCCAACTAATGGGTTAATCTAAAACACACTGTTTTAAACATAGAAATTAACAAATACATACTGAATAAGAGATGTATGACACTAAAAATTGCAAAAATAGATAAATCCAATTGTAAAATCAAATTTATAAAATATACAACCATATGAAGTCAAAATTTTGATTTATGTTTAAAATTAGCAATAAGCACTTGAAAATTCGCAAGATAAAGAAACAACTCCATATGTAGAAAGTAGCAGAGGATAGAACATTCTGCTTTTAAAATAGAACAATCAATCAACACTAACGCTGATCCAGTATCAATCACTTTACAATACAATTGTTTAGCAAAAATGTATTTTAACAAATAAACTTCATTTTGAACGGATAATGAAAATCTGCAATTTTCAAAAGCTCCAATTTATGCAATCTCATGAACAATCTAGTAAAACTCCAAATTAGTCGATGACAAGTGGGACCGACACAGTTTGAAAAGAAAAAAAAAAAAGAAAACCGTGTTATTTGAAAAAGAAGAAAGTTGGCAATTCTTTTGACAAAATGGAGAGCCGTGAATGAGTTATGCACGGCTCTCTCGTAACCTGAGGCAGATGCACCTCAACAACAACACACAGCAGAAAAAAAAACGTGTTTATTTGAAAAGGAGAAAAGGTTGGGCATTTCTTTGTGACCAAAATGGAGAGCCAGTGAAATGAGTTATGCACGGCTCTCTTCGGTAACCTGAAGGGCGCAGATGCACCTCAACAACAACACACAGCAGAAAAAAAAAAAATTGTAAAGAGAGTGTGTCTAGTTTTAAAAATGGTTCTAAAATATAGGGGAGAGGGGGAAAATAGTGAGTAAAATTATTTTTGGGGTGTTTTTGGGAAAAAAACCACTTTTTGTGCCCCACATTTTGTATTTTTTACTTCTCTTTGTGTACCTTACCTATTTTTAATAGTGAAAGGGAAATTATTCGGAGTTTGGGTCCCCGTGGGACGGTAGCCCTAACAGTGAGGGTTGAAAAAAACCACGTAATTAGCCCTAAACAGTTGAGGGTGAACCACGTAAATTTCTGTGTGTCACAAGTCTATTTTTCCGCTGCGTTAATTTTCTCTTAATTGGTTGAAAGGACTCAACAAGTGGTATCAGAGCTGATGACCAAAAACTGGTATTAGAACTGATGCCTAACAAGGGATATCAGAGCTGATGCCCAATAACTGGTATCAGAGCTGAAGGTTTCGGCAGATCAGCCGGTCAGATAGCGGTACTAAATCCATGGATATATTTTGAAATAAATATACCATGACGAAGAGAAAATTACGACGAGTCTATTGGTGCTGTCCGCTTGGAAAGACATTGCAGAATCGACTTAGTGATGAATAGTAAAATAGTAACTCAAAGTTGATGGTGAAGAGTACTATTGGCGTTACTGTTGCTGAATCCGTTTATTGGCGTACTTGTTGCTGGAAATTCCGTTTTCAAAAATTAAAAAGCCCAGCACATTTCACCGAATAGAAAACTATTTTTCCACATTGTACAAGTTTTACGTATTTTCCATGGCGATTTAACAGTTAGCTATTCAAAAAATATTTACCTCATTAACTATTTCATGATCAACTATTCCACGTATATTACTACTTTCACATTATACAGGTTTTATGTTGGTAATTTGATTTTTTTCTGCGTAAGTCCTAAAATGGGACAAAAGCAAAAAATGATTCAGTCTTTAAATGCGGGCAAGGAATTACCATATATTAGGAGAAAATTTGAGAAAGATCTCCCTCTTATACTGGTAGCATTCCAAAAAAATGGGCAAATTTGCCTTGTGTTGTTAGTGAACTAAAACTGGGAAGAGAGACTTGCATGAGAGGGAAATGGCTTTCGAAGGGGGCCATGCGTTTCCAAATTCTCTAAAGTTGGTAGATTTCGATGTATCTGAAGGGTTTCTTGTGCAAACCCTTCAGAAATTTAGTGTCATTGGGGAAGCTTCACAAAAGGTTTCATTGTGGTTAGCTTTAAAGGACAACCGGGAAAAACTGTACGTGATGCATTTGTGAAAAACTCTCCCAAGACACTTTGGAGCTTGTAGCGGAAGGAGAAATGGAAACCAGTGACAGCTGGAATTGTGGCATTTAAAACAGGACTACGCCACATGGAGTAAGGAAAAACTCTTGGCAAGAAAGAATGTACTTTACTGGATTTGGATTGGAAAGTCGACCTAGAAACCCAAGTAGCTTCCCCTGAATTGCAATTGGCGGGG